TTCAAAATTCTACAAAAATACTTGATTACATAATTTAAATTACCTCTAAAATTTAATGGTGAGAAAAACATGAGGGCTCGTAAGATTTAATTATGAATTAATTTTTAGAGTTCAAATCAAGAAAGAATAAAATCCAGAGTATAAATCACTTGATTAAATATATATATAAAGAAAAAAGCAAACTTGATAAAACATAATGGAAAATTTTCAAGTGAAAATATGTAGAGAAAAAATCAAAATATAAAAAAAAATTCTAAATTAAAATGTTATTTTGTTATTGCAATAATTTTAAGCTAGCTTTTATAATACCTTAGACCAATATTTTAAAAGACATAAAAGACTTAGTAATCTTTCCCTATTTCTACAACACACATAAATGTTTTAAATTTAGGGGGCATGGGAGGGTATAGTATCATAGCTGTCTCTAAGTGTGTAAAAAAGGGACAAATCATAAATAAGGGACTGCTTTAAATTTATGCAAATATCCAATTTATTGAAGGGAGTATTTAATAAATACTTGTCATTAAAATTATTTTCTCCATCTGATATTTTCTACAAGTATAAAAGCAAAATATTCTATTATAAAATTTAGGGTCAAGTTTATTTGACCAATTAACTAGAAAGTACATTCCAAGGACTAAGGATGAAAAAAGATATCTATTTACCTGGCTTAAGTTTGAAGGAGGCAAAATCAAGGAAAGGGAAAAGATACAAAAATGTCATATTACTTAAACAGTGGTCCCCAACCTCTTTGGCACCAGAGGCCAGTTTCATGGAAGACAATTTTTCCATGGATGAGGGTGAGGGGAACTCAGGCGATGATTCAAGCGATGCGGGAGTAGCTGTAAATACAAAGGAAGCTTCACAGATGAAGCTTTGCTTGCTCTCGCCTGCTGCCCACCTCCTGATGTACAGCCCGGTTCCTAACAGGTCACGGACCAGTACCAGTCTGTGCCCCGGGGGTTGGGGACTGCAGACTTAAAGCATTAAAAAAGATTGAGCTTATTATTGTAAACTCAAGTTTAACACATATTTCAAGTAACACAGTTTTTCTAATCTGAGTATGACTTAAGTATTGTTGCATATACTTGCAAAAACGAAGAAAAGCAAAATCTTGGTGGTCTTCCTAGACCATGTTAATTTTGGTTTTTTAGTTTAAATAACAAAGGATAGAATTATGGATAGAGTTCAGCAACAAACTTTCCATTAGGATATGTAATCATGCCATGAGTTCCAAAAAAGGGTTAGTTGTATAAATTTGGGAAATAATCACTCATGCAAAAATCAGAAAATACCTGTACCGAGCCACCATGTCTGTCTGCTGCAAGGTGAGCTCTCAAATGGTGGGGATTTGCCTGCTGGGAGTCCCAAGCTGCCCTGTGGTCTGCCGACTGCCATTTATTTAATGCATATGGCATGCATGGAAGAAGAAAAACCCAATATGTTAAACATCTCATCCTTATAATATAGAAAACAAACATAAAAAAGGAAATTTAAAATATCCTTACTATTCTGAATCATAGGTATAGTTATCTTTGCATGTGGAATATGGAGAGATTTTAAACTGCCAAATTGTGTAATGATCAGTAATAAAAATAAAATAGAATCATAAAATTTTAGAAGTAAAAGGACTTTAGAAATCATAGATTTCACCCTCTAACTTTATAAAGTTAACAAAGAACCAAAAAGAGAAAAATGACATGCCCAAGAAAGCACTCCAAATAAGTCATGAGCACTCTAAAGGCCATCCACTGTATTTTTTTATGGTACAGGTCCCCACTGGTTTTCTGATAAGGAGATATTTTTAAGAAGATAAAAATGATCGTCCTTAAATAACTGTGCTTGAGATCCTAAAAAAATTTTCTCTCTTGCTTAGTCCCATTTCTGATTTTGAGCATAACATGAGAAAACAGAAAAGTCCTTTGAAAAAAGAGAAGCACTGTACAGAATACTATGAGAATAAGACCAAATAAACAAACAAATTTTTTTAAAAGTGACAATCCTACACATGTGAATCCCTTTGCTTCCTTGATCTCTTTTTATCTGGTTCAAATTAAGGAACCCTTTTCTATGAAATAGGCTAAAAATTCTTAATGTTTTCAGATCTGTTGGCAAATCTGCATGGCAATAACCACAAACATAATAATCTACTAGTAGAATTAAGAGTAGTGTCTTAATAGAGGTCAATTTCTATGTTTCAAGAAAATGTGAACAGCACTAATCAAAAAAGGGAGAAGAATACAATATTTAAGTTTTATTACATGTTTGGTTCTGCATTAGCTACTTTATATGTGTTATTTCATTTTGAGATAGATAGTATCATCTAACATTTTACTGATGAAGATATTGAGATGTCAAGCACTTCCCTATGGTCATAGAGCTAGCAAGGAGTACAGCAGAAATTCCAACTCAGAGCCTACTGTTCTTGCAATAATAAATACTACCTAGCTCCTTACCACAATTACACATATTCTAAAGCCTTCAGTGTTATTTTCTTTCTTTCTTTTTCAACCAAAATCAAGAAAATCTTGCCACAAAGTGCCAAGCACATTGGGCTACAGGGAGCCTAAGCAGACTGGTGGCCAAAGCAACCTTTTAGGGGAGAGATGTTAAATTCAAGTAGACGCATGAATGTATGATCCTGCACTAAGCTTTCTCAATTAAATTGTACAATCCAAAATTACATACTCTGTGGCACAAAGTATGTCATCAAAACAATTATGATAGTTCTCTAATGTCTTTTCATGAAACATTTCAAATTCATAACCAGAATATAGCAGATTTATAGCTTAAATTGAAATAAATTATTAATAGATAAAATCAAATCTAGATGAGATAAAAGAATGAAAACAATGCTAAAATTGAGAAAAATATCTAGGGCAATAGGCAACATTTTGGAGTTACAGAACTCTCTAAGAATATAGCAAAAGCTATGCACCCTCTCCTCAGACTAAACAATTAAACACACCCATCATTTTACATAGAATTTCATGATGCCCTAATTTTCAACCCACTGACCCTAGGTTACCATGTATCTGAAGACATTACAAAAGTTTCAGTCATTTGAAAGAATTAACCTTTATTTCCTTTGGGATTTTGAACTGTGGGTTTCTACTAAAACTTAAACTGTTTACTGGTTCATAGATATTTAAGAAGAGTTTTTTCTAGATACACAACCTTCTTATCATGATGAGAATCTACATACTCAGGTCTCAAATTAAAGACATAGGTCTATCCTAAAGGATTTCTCTACATTTAATTCAATAACAACTGCACAAATAAAATATGGTTCCCACCCTCAATGAGCTTACAATACAGCTAGTAAGACATGTCCAAAACATGTAGAAAATTAAAAGTCTAAAATATTTAATTTATAATTTAATTCAACAATAAAAGAAGAATTCCACTTATTATAATACCTAACAGTTCAAATGAAGAACTTTGGAGAATGTCAATTATTAATCTTCTTCCAAGTACATTCAAGAAACTAACTCTGGTTTATAAACACAAACTCAAGTGTCAACTTCCGAGCCGTTTCTTTCCGAGCAGCATCTTATCAGAGTACTCAAGCTATCAACTAATTTTAATTTATACATGAATTTACATATAAGGGCCTTTATTGTCCCAATTTTTCTAAGTCAAAATTTTAAAATTAATCTTTTAAATTGGCTATACTTTATAGCATAATATAATATTGTTAAATACCCCTTAAAGTATAGCATTTTATTTTGCTATGGTTTTTAATAAGCGGAGTTCTTTCCTTTGATTTTCATTTCTTGTTTTAGCCTTCGCTCATACTCTGATGAATACACAATATAAAAGTAAAAAAAGGAGAACATGTTATCCTTCTCCAAAAAGGATTATAACAGAAAACTACTAGACACTTTTTAAACTCAGGGTGACAGCAAAATTTTTAAGTCAAAGACATCTTCAATAAAACTTCTTTTTACAAAAAAAAAGAAATGAAAACATTGCTCAAAAATTTCAACAGCTTTCTATTCCCTTACCCAGGAAACATAACCATTCACTCTCAACCGATCTTCCATGCCTTGTCTCAGACTTACTCTCTGCTCCCCATCTAATCCATCTCTACCTACTCTCTGCTCCAAGCAAACTGGACCACTTGCAATTCCTCAAACCAATTCTACATTTTTAAACTTATGTTTCATATTTTATACTGTTCACTATCCCTAAAATGCCCTTATTCCTTCATTTCTCTTTAAAAATTTCATTCATTCTTCAGGTTTATCTCAAAAGCCACCTTTTCCTTAAAATCTTTATAGATCCCCACATATGATCTTCCATGATACTTTATTAATATTTCATATAATATACCTCATTCTGCTTTGAAATGTAGTTATTTCTGTATTTATTGTAATAAGCATGATAATAATAACACTGATCACAAGAGTTGAGATTGAAAGCTTATTATATGCTAGGAATTAACATGCATTATTTTCATTTTATAAATGAGGAAATTGAGGCTTTGGAAGATTAATTTGTTGAGGGTCAAGCCACATCCATATATGTCTGACTCTATAGTCTGAGTGAGCACATAACTACAATCTTGCTTTTAGCCACTTGTCACAAAACCATTTCTTACTGGTTATACTGTCTTCCTTACTTCTACATATCTACAGTGTGTAGAATAGTAGCTTGTAAATAGCAAAAACTCAATAAACAATTTATTGAACTAAATTAGACTATAGTAAGATCAAGTACTCTTAAAATTCATTCCAATATGGTATCCAAATAGTTTCATACTAACAGAATATCAAATATTACTCAAAGTTTACATGAATTTATAGCATTAGGAATTTATGATTAAACACTTTAATGTTATTATTAAACTAATAAATAGTAAAATTAGGAGAAATAATTTATCCATTAAAAATATATGCATTTTTAATCCTTCAATCTGCTTTATTTATTGAAGAAAAAAGTACGTGTTTCAATACTGAAACAAAGTAAGATATTTCGTATCTAAAAGAGCAGCAAACCTGGTTTTTGGATTGTTGCATTTTATCTCTGTGTTGATGTGCTTCTCTGTTTGATGACAGAGCAGGATCTTGCTGAACTGCACCCACTGGAGTAGGCTACAATACAATAAAATTTGGTATCGACACATTCTACTTCAGAAATCTTATTTAAAATCATTTATTTAGCTGCTTAAAAAAATCAAGGAAAAAATAAAAGACACTGTTACATAAATTAAGGCTTTAAGAAAAGATATCATTCTCAAAATACGTTGTTAAAGCTAACAAGGTAAAGCCAAGAGAACATAGCTACTTTTTAAAATGTTTTTAAATATTTAAATACTTTATAAGTATTTATTTTATCTTTACAAATAAACCTTCTAATACTGTCATTACTTTTAGGTTACTTTTTCATTTCAAAACAATGAAAATATATTTGGTTATGTCTTTCATTTCCAAAGCTAATGTATAAATAAATTATTTAAAAAAATTAAAATAGTTTAAATATAATAAAATTAATTATTTTCAATATTTGACTCAATATTTGAGGCTTATTAAAATTTTTAATTTTCATCAAGGTATTAAAGGTATTAAAGTACTAAAGTATTAAAGTACTGAGATTATTATACAAAAAGAGTATCTTTGACATTAGGAACTAAATCAGGATGAAAAGTTCAAAATAACTCATCACTCTAAAAAGCAGAGAATCCAAATGTAGGACTTTTACAAAATTCAAAGAATACTAATATGGGCACTACCTGAAGAAATGTCCCCCCCAAAATAATAAAATGAATCCTTTTAAAAAGTTATTTGTTCTTAACTCTTTTAAATTGAAGGATTTTTACTATTAAAAAGAAGGTAAATACTTTAGTCTTACTGCATAGCATAGAGGAGGGGGCCCCAACCTATGGTGAGTTGTATAATTATTCCATTACATATTACAATGTAATAATAATAGAAATAAAGTACACTATAAATGTTATGCACTTGAATCATCCTGAAACCGCCCATCTAACCCCCATCCCCCCACCCCAGTCCATGGAAAAATTGTTTTCCATGAAAACAGTCCCTGGTGCCAAAAAGATTGGGGACTGCTGACATGGAGTACTCACCAACTGTTTACCGATCCAGTCATATTCATAATCAAACATATATCCTTTTCGATCAAACAAGTCAGTAAAAAGCTTTCTTAGGTAGTCATAGTCTGGCTTTTCAAAAAAATCTAGCCTTCTTACATAACGAAGATATGTTGCCATTTCTTCTAGAAAGAATATAAAAATTATTTGACTATACTTCTATTATACTCAATAATAAAATTATTTAAATGTCTAAAAACACACTGTATTATAAAAACATGGAAAAGTAAACAAATTCTATTGCAACTTAAAATTTTCTGAGTTCAATTACAACAAAATAAAAAAGGGGAGAAGAAAGGAGGAAAGGAAATATAGAAAAAAGAAAAGGGAGAGGTTTAGTTTAACAACCACTATTTTTGCTTCATTTCATTAGGAAAAGCTAAAATTTTTATTCTATAATATTTTTAATATCAGGTAGTATTAGAGGTTGAATTAGCAGCTTAATAATGCATGATGAATCACAAAGCATCACACCCAGTTCATGAGTTTAAAAATTTATTTAAAATATTGGTGGAAATTGACTTATACAAAAGCATCTGCACTAGCTTGCTGGATTTCCTTTAGAACCAGTGACATACATTGACGAACAGAAAATTCAGATTCCTAACCTTGGCTATGAGTGGTGTTCTAACAAATTACATTAGCAAAATAAAGCTAAAATAGATCTCAAAAACATAACACAGGAGCACACTGCAAGTCTTCTCTTAATTTCTGGACATACTTAATGATTATTTGATAACAGACAAATCTCCACATACCCCTATAATTCCCAAATGTAATAATAGATAGATAGATAGATAGATAGACAGACAGACAGACAGATTTAAAGGTCATATTTTCCAGAAAGAAAAGAAGAAAAAACCATAAAAGCCAACAGGTAAAATGGTGAGCAATTAGTAAAACAGAGTGTTTCACCATAAAGGCACAGAAAATCACTATAGTAAGAGATGGCAGGTTATGCCTAGCTGCTTTTCTCTTTCAATTTATTCGCTGGCAGCCAGTAAGTAAGCATGACATCTAGCACAATGGGCAAGAAAAGTGGTACCCAGTGACCTTCCTCACATGGTGACTTTCCCACTATCCACGTCCTAGCTAATCACCTGGCTAATTTACTTTGGTACACCCATTTTTCCTGCCTTTATATAGGCTGCTTTAATCACAGCCAGCCAATCTGCCTACACCTTAACTCCTAGTACTATTAACCAATATTTTTAAAATCTTCTACTTCTAGATGTTATAGTAAAAAAAAATATATAATTATATCAGAATTTGAGTAGAAAAACAGAAGAACCACAATGAGTGATTTAGACTAAGGGATTTATTATTAAGATTAAACCTCATGCAGTTGTAAGAAACACTGGGGAAATAAAGATCTGAAAAGGGGTGATTGAAGGATCAGAAAAAAATGCTAATTAGGGATCATGAAGAGGAGCTGGTAAAGAAGTTCTATGGAAAGCTGTTACCTCTGCTTTTGGTGGAGGGCATGAAGGCATCGTAGGTGCTCTCGGCAGCTGGGTGGAAAGCAGAAACAAAGCAAGGATAAGCTTGGACCTATGAGGATAAACTGGGACTGATGAGACCAAACAAGAACCCATGAGGACCTACTCAGACCCCCTGAAACGAATAGAAGCCATGTCTGTGTCTTACCTCGTATAACCTCAGTGATATTGGTCATCTGTAGAAAAAGCTAGAGCCCTTCACCAGGGATCTGCTCAGGCACCTGGCTGAGGGCTCAGACACTGAAGGGGATGAAGAGAAGAGTGAGTTTGGGTGAACTACCAGTTTGGCTACTTTCTCATGCCAGTAAGGTAAACCATCAGATCAAAGACAATGTGAAATGCAGTGGTCCCGGAGGCCCTGCACAAACCCTATGAAGGGGATGAGTTATGCTGTGTCTCTGTTTTCCAAAAACTGTATATATTTCTTTATCATCAGCCCAACACGTTACCACCTGGAGAAGGGAATTCTGGGGAATTTAATTTTCATCTTTGCTAGGTCGACACAGTGCAAAACCACACCGAGAAGAGAAAAGAGATCTAGTATCATTATCCTTGTAGGCCAGCTCTGTGCATTGTGATTCCATTTAACCCTTTCTGCATTGGCAAGTCTCAGGCGGAGGTATGAGGAGGGGTTAGAAAGGGTAGAAACAGGAAAAAGAAAGAGGCATCCCAGAAACACTTGAGGAGCATTTTCTAACTGATTGCATGTCTTTCCGTTCCTTCATCTCCCCAAACCCTTTGGTTTTGATTACAGTTCGTTTAGAGCAAGGTGAGAACTCACCTTGCTGCTGCTAAAGAACTGTAGTATAGCAAGTCACCAGTACTGGTACAAATGTGTTCCTTCCAAATGTGTATCTACATGGAATAATGCGAGAACCACTGTTTTTTATTCTATGCTAGTTTTTGTATGTTTGTTTTTTGGATTGGTGACTCCTTAAAGACAGAAGTAGACTCGTATATAACTTTGTTTCTCCTCTACATACTCCCCTACATAAGTTAACTATAGTCTTGTTATGCAATAACTCTCAGCTCTCACATTCAGGTGCCCCTAAAGGCCAGACATAAAACACAAATGTGAGACCAAAGAATATGGTGGGGCTGAGGGCTACAACCAGAGCATACATTGCCTAACCTAAAGCCATTCAAATGAGAAAAAGAGCAGTGTTGGAGTGGAGGGAGAGGTTGGGGACCTCTATACACCATCAGCCATCACTTCTGATAAAATAATGGAGGTTTCTATTTTCATATATAAAGTTTGCTTTTATTATTAGTAATATAAGAGTCATTCAGTGTGGAATCAATTTCTGTGGATTATACCAGGACGAGCAAGTGGTGTTCATAAGCAATGCAGATTTATAACAATTTTGCCAATAACCCTCTGATAGAAACTAAAATAAAACATTTTAATATTTCAATGAACTAGCATTTGACTTACTAAAATAGTCCTTCATTTAAATTTATTGACACAAGTTGGAGGAAAAGTTGTGTATTAATATGTCTTAGCTTATTCTTTCCACTGAAATAATAAAATAGGAAAAGAAGTTTAATAACATTAAAAGTGTGACTGTGATT